TTTTTCATAATAACTTAGCTATTTTTTCCAAAAGGTAGCCTCCGGTTATCCGTCCAATCCCTTGATCCGCCTTCGGCGTATCTTCGGGATTGGTCGGCTAACCGCTCGGCTTTCTGGCAGGGGGGGGGGGGAACCGAACCCGTCCGGCTCTACTCTGCACTGTCCTCTTATCCACTCCACTACTAGGCCCCAAACCCCTAAAAAGACTTGTCCTATACATACCTTGAATGGTTTGAGGATAAAATAAATATTCCCCTCTTCCCCCTAGGTTCGCAATAGAGCGAACCCAAGAGGAACTCCTCTCATTGGACAGAACCAATGAGAGGAGTCAAGGGAACCCTCTCACACCCACCCCATACCACTCAAGTTAACCCAATGCTCTCCTCTTCGACCAATGTAATGTTCTCTTCCAACAGTTACTAAGACGGCTTCCCACATCGACTGAATGAGACATCTTATCAGGAATGGTACACAGGTGGGGCCAGTGTAGATATCCTTTCAAATTATCCCATCAAAGTAATGATTCAAGCAACGTAATAGAAGACTGTGTGGAAAGGATTACGAAGAGTGTTTCTATCGAAGAGAGAAGTAGAAGAGTAAAGCTGTTCCAATCATCTCTCACGACCAACCAGTAATTTCGAGAATCTCAATTGCATGAACTACAAACTAACACTCGACTCTCCATTCTTCAATTGAATCAAGCTCTTTTCAGGAATGTACAAAGGTGGGGCCATTGTAGACATACCATCTGAGAGTTAAATTCTCCTGATTTCAGGTGCTGCGGGCAAACCATTCCGATAAAACAGGAACAAACGATCTTCAAGGGGAAGACATTCAACGAGAAAACGAAAAACCGTTAACACAAAATTTTTTTTTCTTGTTAATGGTTGTACACGAAACGAGCAGAACGGGACCCTTTCAACTGGCGCAGATTGAATATCTTTCACTCAGTGATATTCAAGATACTAGCCGCACAACTAACTCAACAAGCGCCAACAGAATTCCAAAACAGATGATATACTGAGACTACATAACCTATACTGGGGAAACATCTCTTTCAACTTTCATCCTAACTTGATACAAATTCTTCACGGGAGAACACAGAAGATGGGCCGAATAGAAGTTCAGGGGAGAAAAATACATCAAAAACCAGGAAACGCTTCTGAATGAAAGAAATGCACGCAGTTGCGAAACCTTTCAGTTAACTCTCAAAGTACTGACTGATAAGGGAAGCGAGACTGTCATGAGCGGAAACATAACAACAAACACTACGAGAGTACAATACAGCAGACTTATTCAAACTGAATTATTTTCAATTAAATGCTTCTGATGATCTAGGTTACAAGGACACTGAGAGCACAACGATAATCTTTCTACTACTCGCATATGGATACCAGTAGAAACTCAATTCGACTTTTCTGTCAGCGCTTTGCTAAGCAATGATTTGTTAAAAGTGTATCTCATAATGATGAACGAGGAGAAAATACTAATCATACAGGAACACCTATGAGGAAACATTTCCAAAGAATGATTGGTTAACATAGCAAATCCTTAACTACAACGAGAGCGATCGAGTGAACCTCGGCAACCTTTTCACTTCATAAGACAACTCCGAGACTTGCACAAGCGATTGCATAGAAACTGTCAAAAACCTCAAACAAAACAGAAAATATTAAATGAACTGCGCTGCAAAGAGAAGATGGAAAAGCTTTTGCAGAAACGAGAGAAGCTCGCAATAAATAGAAAACGCCTTATACAGCATTTGAATCTGAAGGAAAACACATATCACTCCATTCTATAGAAATCAATAACACAGTTATGACCTATTAGAAGTTTCGGGAGGTTATTTGATTGACAATGGAAAGGATCAAACTAACATTTAGAACTACAATCCTATATGCAACAGTACGTACTGTCAGTAGATATCAGCACCCTCACCAATGAAACAACCAGCCAAGAGCAATGTTCACAGAAAGAAATTGATTTTGAAATATTTTAATAATTTTTTTTACGAACAATGAAGCTCTCAATGATTAAAAAACCTTTTACAGCGTTTAAATGCCAAAAAAACCCGCGAGACCCTATTCTCATCAAATCAACAACTCAATTAGCAGATTTCTAGAAGTTGTTCGAATGGCAATCGTAAGGATCTAACTAACATTTCAAACTACATTCATGACTAGGGGATGGCCCTCCGTTAACAGTACAGTTTCCGTAGGAAAGTGAGCAAAACTAAAATAAAACCATAAAAAGAATAAGTGAATCAAGAGTACCATGAAGACATCGCTGATCAGATCAACAGCCAATCAAAAAGATTATGCAGAATAAGCAAAACTCACAGAACTTTTTAAAAAAACCAAAACGTGAACAGAAATGAATTCTGTGAAGTTATAGCTTCGAAACCAAACTGTGAACATTCATAGAGAAGGTAATTCTCTTTACATGGCTTAGGAGAAATTAACAACCCCTAACAATCAAGATCGGGGAAAACGAAAAATTCTGTTGAAGACACCAAATTAATAGTTTCTTCAACATTGTTTTTAAATTGAGTTTTTAAACAAAACTTCTCTGATCCTTGAAAATACTCAAACATCGAAATCAAAATGAACGCGAAAGTTCCAAACGCCAATACGTGGAAGCTTCTGCTTGCTTCCTTTCGGATCTGGGCCATACACTTCTCCTTGTCCACCC